ATATGCCATTCTGCGCAGTGGACAAAAAAAAAAGATCGGGGAATAAATGGCTGAATGTAGTTTAGCATTAACGATGTTATAGTAAATAGCTAAAGGGTACGACGTAAGTAAAAGTACCAAGAAAAAACCTCAAACTACCAAAAATACGGAACTTATTATAGTGCAGAAATCCGACCAAAATTTGTCTAACTATTCATAAATTGAAAAACTCATTATTCTAGAGCTTGATATCTAACGAAATATGCTGAACCAGTATCTTTCTTGATCGCAGTTTCCAAATTCTCTTTACAGCTCTAAAGAAGGCGATATTTCACGCAACGCATAGCATATTTCTTTTATTATAATTCTTGTAGAATTACCTTGGTTGAGCATAGTCTATACTAAAATATTGTGCGGATTGCAAAATTGAGTATGTGCTTAACCAATTAACTCAGAAAGGACATATGTTTACGGTGTGGAAGGGCTTTGGAAACAAGTTGAAAGATCTAGAAAAAATGACCTCATGAAACTGATGAAGACGATTTTGGGCACTACCTTTTCCATACAGTGTCTAGCCTTACCTACGAGCACGATGCGTTCCTAACAAAATTTAGATTTTAGTCTTAATTCAAGTATTTTTCAAAATAACAGTAATAATTACCCGGAAGGCATTGGCGTTCTGAGTTCGGGCCCATACGGATCCGTCGGTGCCGATGATGGCTGCCCTCTTGATGGCAGGCGACGAGTCCGTCATCGACGTGATGTACGCTTGCCATCCAGACATTCTGGAGCAGAATTCGACATTACTGCAGAAAAAATCGCAGAAAAAAATGTGCATTGAGCTGCACTATACATATGGGACTGCGTAGCGAACACACAGACACACATCTATCATACCGGGTGTACGGAACTCGTAGCGGTGAAAATGAGACATGAGGGAAAATGAGGCTATCAATATTCATGGTGCGTACGAGAGAGAGTAGGAATCGGCAGCACAGTCGGTTCATCGTGAACTTTTTCGGAAGTTTTGGGCGGATGCTGGCCTTTATCAACGTTCATTCCAGCAGTAAACAAGAGATAAACAAAACTGCCTGTTTGTTCTTGGAGACAACAAGAAAAGAATCAGCGAAGGCAGCGCAATCAATTCACGGATTTATGATCAATCTCTTTAAAATTCAGCGATAAAAACGCAACAAAAAAAGGAATGCTGCAGGGGAAAAAAGAGGTAGAAAAACTTGTTCGGAAGAAAAAATGTGGAGTAGAAAGTCTATAGCATGAAAATCCATATAAATCGCTTTCTCCACAAATTCTATTTCCAAGAAACAAAAACGTTCGTAGTCAAATATGAAAAAGAATCCAAGGACTAATGTTCTCAAATGACCACATTTTATGGATTCGAGCAATGAATTCCGGATTCTGAGTCAGACTGAGTGAGAGACACTGTTGAGATAACAGGTTGGGTGTCACGACTTGTGCGGATGAAAAGAAAAAGACGTCTATGAACTTTTTGAAATTCTCAAAAGATTTGTGCAACTACAAATACAGCGATTTTTGATTAGGATATGTAAAATATCTAGAAAACAAAGGAAAATAATTCAGTGAGCAATAATCACAAGGTAAA